TATCAACTCAATAAAGAATTAAGAATTCAATGTAAAATAACACAGCAGCTTTGTTAATTAAGAAAGACCAATCTGACCAATACCAGCGTGGTATAGTAGGCCAAAAATTCCTTTCTGATGAGAGGTCTATGTCCAGCAGTGGACTATTAAAGGCTGTTGATGTGATGTGATGTGAATCTGACCAATTACCTACACAAACTTATCAACTACTTAATAATGCATTCAAAATTAAAATATCATTTGAGATGTGGGTTTTTAAACTTTGGCTCGTTTATCATGTTTTGCGCAGCATGAAGACCCTCACAGCCGCGCTACCGCTTAATAGGCACTTATTTACCTTGGCACCGACTTCAAACAGACTAGAAGGTATCTATTCAATTATAATGTAACCTGTTATGTTGAGGGTCGCACTTATTTTAAGTTTTTCAATTAGATTTGTAATATTTTTTAAATTTTTAGTGCTCTTTGTTAGAAGTCGGTTTAACTTTTTTAGGGTTCTGGAACCTCAAAAGGAAAAAAACGGAACCCTTATAAAATCCAACAAAGTGATCTTATTTGACCGTCTGTCAAGAGCCTTTATCTCGGGAACGCGTGGAGGGTATCGCGTTGAAATTATAACTCAGGTCTACAGTCCCTTGAAATTGTAAAATAACCAAACTCCTAAGTTAACGTAAAAAAGATCAAAACCAAAATTCATAGGGTACAGTGTCCTGTAATTAATTATACTTTTATTATGATATGATGACCATACTACAGGACATCTTTATATACAATATTTATAGGACCGCTCGGATCCTGCCGGACTCTGCCACCCGCTACGGACGTAGGGCCCGAAGCGGCGACGGCCGCTTTGCCCCCCAATTTTTAACCTTTAATTTTAATGATATGCTGGAAAGAGAAATTTTAATCTACATTAAATGCTCAACATATCTAACGTATTTAATTGGATAAGGGATAATAATGTATTGTCTAAAATAGCTTCGTAAATAACCATTATTTTTTTGTATCATTTAAAAGATAAAAACTCACTTAGGTTACTGTGGGTATTATTAAGGTATATACAATTCCGTAGTACATTAATTTGATCTATCTCGTTAGGATTAGCCAGCGTTTGCAATGTAAGTGCCATAAGTGCACGATGCGCAAAGCGATCCCCACTCTACTGCCGAGCGCTCAATATCCGTGCCGGTAACTAAAACTTTGAGTAAAATTACATAATGTAAGTTTTATTTTGTACAAAAATGAATCGTGGTATTTCACGAAATTTCATCACGACTTTAAAGACGTTGCAAGACGTTTACTCAGTTAAAGTGGAGTTAATAATTTTGTCACGAAAATATCACTCGCCAATACTGTTAATTTTTTTCATACATTAAACACAGTTCATCTTAATTAAATGGGATCGATTTTCCTTTAGAAAAAAAAAATAACATTTTCAACAATAAGTAAAAATAAATTACGTAAGAAATGTTTTGTTGCGTTGAGTTTGCTCATGAAATAGAAAAGTAATCAGTATCGAGTCGTGCTAGGCGTATCTACCTTCATAAGTATAGTCCGATACAAACTTAATGGCGGCTCTGAAGTTAGCTGCGCACACAGGTGTCTGCGCACACGTACACAATCAAGTCGACTCGACTGTACGTAGACAGGAATATGCGCGCATGTGCAGTGTGCGGATATAACTCACACACTAAAAGGCATGCGTGTTTGCCGTGGTTCTTCCGTAGACCCTAGCTAGGGTCTCAGGGTGACTTCTCCAGGCCTACGGTCTGTCTAAGTAGTGTTCCGCGCCGCCTTCCACTACGAGCGGGCTACCAGCTTTGTAGCTACGCCCGGGTCTCGTCCAGTGTGACCCCCTGTGCTTGGCGAGGTCGAGCTCCGAGGGATGGGTACTTCGAGAAACGCCCGTCAGCCAGCATCAGGTGGGTGCTAAGGATGGTCCGGTAGGGGTTGCCACGGAGACGAGGTCTCGTGGCAGGCCATGTCTGTCCGGCGGTCGCCGATTGTAGCGTCGTAGGGGGTTCGGCGCGAAATCCGAACTGTTCGTCGCGTCGTATTTACTGGGAGACCACGGATGGCCACCTTGATACTGTGTTCAATTGAATGGCGTATTTTGCTGAAACAGATATTCATTTCTGTTTCAGCAAAATATGGTACTTATCGATTGTAGGTGACTTTTTAATTTTATTTAGATCGTCCTTTATAATTAATCTACACACTTTTATCACACAAATAGCCATTTTAAGCAACAAGAGATGTGAAAGCAACAAACACGGAAAATGCATTTAAAGGTCAACAGTTGGACACTATTTTTTCCTTTGCTTTCATAGCTTTGACTGTCAATCTAGACATTTAAGTAAGCTAAGCATCATATATATACTGTTTCTAAAATCTGTAATAAAATATAGGTAAACGATAGGCGGCGACGGTCCTTGTTAAATATGCAGCAGGCTGAATAATGCAAGCACTGGAGGTACTGTGTTTAACCGACACCACGGTGGGTTCGTTTTGCGTGACTAGGGAATTTTATTATACAGCTAAGAGTTACTTAAGGACTACGAGGCATCTCATCGGTTCGATTGTGAGTCCTGAATTTATTTCTTTTTAATGATACCGAATCCCAATCCATGTAATATTGTCACTGAAATTATTTTTTGTGAATGTATGTTATTGCGGCCGTAAGACATGTTATGGAGGTAATATGGGAGCCTCTGATGGCGGCTGATGCAAAGTATATTTTGCAGATCACCTGTGTCTGATTCGCTAAGGACCAACGCCTGGGTGTCACCACTGCGATGGCCAGATCGTGAATACGATGCATCATACGCTGGTAGAATGCTCGGCATGTGTGGAGCAGAGGCATGACCATGTGATTGATTGTGGTCATAGTATGGAGTACGATATCTCCTCTAAATATACAGGGACTTGTTGTAACATGTCGTGTCATGCGGTTTCATTTTACAGATTATCATTATCGGAAGGGCGATTTCCACATGGAAAAAGAGCGGATTTATAGGCATGACACGAGCGCATTCAACCAGCTAGCAGCGGCTCCCTATTTAAAACTAGAGGGCAACTAGCTTTACAACATATTAGATATTGTTATTTGAATATAGTAATTTGTTTAAAAAAAAGACAACTTACAGCTTTGAAACCCATACATACAGTGCTCTTTTTTCAATATTGGAGGATATTCTCATTATTTACTGTAGTAAAATAAGGTAAAACATAGATAGTTTTACAATTAAGTCCCTAATTTTTAAAGACGATTAAGATAACGTTTGGCATTGCTTATACGTGACTTACTTTTCAGAATATAAGCTTGCGCTTTCTTAAACAGGTCATGCCGAAGAAAATGTAAATTGTTTTGAATAATAAGTAATAGCACTGTAAATGGAAACTGAAGCGCTTCAGCCTTTGAATCGATAAACGTAATTGCGCAATTTGTTTTTGAAATGTTATTGCTTTGCTGTGACTATCGGTGTTTTATGTAAACTACGAAGGTAAAAACGAAAAATTCGAGGAAGGAAAACAGAAACAGAAATTGACTAAGAGTACCTGATTTACAGATCCTTCAATGAACTAACTAGGTGTCCTTGAATATAATTTTAATGTACATTGGCTCCTAAACTAAGGACTTTACACAATTCGTTTGTTCTATTATATAACCTAATTTTTTGAAGAAATCTTTAATGGGTCTGTCGTCGCCTTGCTGTACCATTATTATCTGCAATGTAATTATCCTCTTTTTAATTCCTCAGTCTCTCTGTAGAAGACTCCAGAATTTTGAAATAAATCTGTAAAAGTATGGCATAGTGAAAGAGGCATTAGAATTCGTTACATAATATAAAGAGCACACACTCAAAAGTAGTTTAAAACCCCTACTTTGGCAACACTGAAAAAAAAACACTGGCGACACTGGAAACTGAGATTTATTAAACAGGTACTTACAAACTTGGAACTAAATTTAGCAACGCAGACCCAAAAATGAGATTCGAATCAGCTGGTTTAGTGTCAAGGTTATATAAATAAATAAGTACATTCAATTTAATATCAAATTTAATGAATCAATAATTAAAATCGTTGACAATATTGAACATGTATTTACATTTATATTTATGCTTTAACAAGTGTACAATGTACAAAAATCCACAGCTTTATTTACATTAGCTATTTACATTACGCAATACAATGGAAGATGGTTCAAGCTTTTGCTAACCTACAATTTTAAATGCATTTTAATATTAAATTAATTATTATACCAATTTTAAATGTAAAAATCGAAATATCAATGAATATTAAATAAGATATAAGACATTTTTTGTACTGACAACATATACAAAGGAATGAATTACAAAGACTTCATAGTCATACTTTGGTAATCATAAAATAGGTAATAATATTTTTTTTGGAATCTAGAATGTGATTATTTTCTATAATAGGTATACAATAATCTACCTATGTCTTAATTTATGTAAAAATACAAAATTGTGTATTTGTCCAAATGCATTTTAAATATTCAAAATTATAAAATAAAGTAAGTCACACCATTTTATTTAAAAATGCAATTTAGTTTATAAGTATAGCAAATATTAATTATTCAGTTTTACAGTTCACCCCGAAAAGTAAACCATAAGAATGTGACTAGTCAATAAATAAGGTGTTCCCTTATTGATAGGGGTCGTAAAAAAACAGATTCAAGGTAGGAAAAGACAAACAAAAGAAGCAATCATCTGTCCCACTTTTGTACTGATATAAGTACCAAATGCTTCTTTATAATGTACTAGCAAAATAAACCGGTGTCGTAACAATTACCGTCAATATAAAAAATATTCAATTCAATTACGCTTAACTGAATAAAGTTCATTGTCAAATTTAAAAATATCTACCAATGGTAGCGTCGAAGTAATTTTCCCATCATCATGTGTAAGTTCAAATCGTTTGCCTTTTACAGACCTTTTGTGCTTAACTAGTCTATTGTATGTTTACAATATGATCTGTTATCTGGTCTCTTCTGGTTTGCTAAGAGTCTCGAATATGTGCTTGTACCAGAAGTCAACGGTTTTGCCCCATGCGCCGAGTGTCGAGTCGTCCAATTTAAGGACCTCGATGAACATTTTCACGATGACTTCTTTCAGTTGCTGGAAAAAAAAAAAAACAACGTAATTATATACTAATGTTTCTGCCAATCTGCCAATCTGCCAATCTGCCAAATCTGAAATATCATAAGTACATGTTTTTTTGTCTGGTCAGTCCGGTCAGTCTCCGGAACCGATTTACTGATTTCTACGGGACATTCACTGCCAGATGCTAGTGTTTTGAGGAGTAACTTAGAATATATTTTGGCCAAAGATATAAAAAATAGATGTTTGTAGTGCAATCTTTCCAGGGCTGTAAGGCAGCTTTGCCGAACGGTGGCCGACACAATCGAGTACAAAGGATCGATGGGTCCATAGAAATCGTTACTACTTTGTTACTACTTGCAAATGTTTGTCAAGTGTCAAGGTCGTACAGGTACACAAAGTGGTTAACAATGTAAACCATAATGAACCCATACTTAAAACTACTATTAAGTTTTGTGCTTTTTTGTAAAGAAACCCACTTGGGTTTCGTTATTTTTTATATACTTTATATAGATACTCAAGTACATACTTGAGTAACGAGCAAAATTGTGGTATGGACAGCCTTAATAGTCTATCTCTATCTCTTCTCAACGACGCCAGTGTTGCTTTCTTTATTATTATAAGTGCTCCTCCAATTATAACCCGTTCCCTGATATGTTTGTTTATAGCCCAAGGAGGCCTTGCTCGCCTTTGTACATGTCATTTTTAAGTTGTTACTTTGTCAGAAAATGTCTACTCAAGTTTTTTTTTAAGTTAGAGGAAGCCAACTCTCAACTCGCCGCTCCCAACTCTCTTTTATTATTATACTTTCCGTGGCAACCTGTAATTAAGGTATCACTGCCAAGCTTGTATATCACCGTCATTGTATCTCTTGCTTTTAAGGTGTATGTTCTTGTTGGTGTCCAAATTAAGAAAATAAAAATAATGATTTCCTAGTCAATTATTTAATATTTATGTGTACAATTAAGAAGAAACGAAGGAAATGAAAGATTTTGCATAACACCGGTCGAGCCGGCTCATTTGTGCATGGCTCTCCCACTAACGGTAATGTTGACTTTTCCTAAAGTGTGAATTCATCTAAGAATATAAAAAGTTACAGGAGGTGATATCGGGGCTTCCCGGCTCAACCAATCTCTGTCTAGATTCTGCTACTTCAAACGACGACGGAATAGATTAATAAATAAATATTTAATTGCCAAGCTAGATAAATAAATCATTACCTAATATTGAGGGCGACTCAGTGTTGTAAGTTTACGTTATGTAACTAGAATCAATGTTCTGTATGTTGCAATAAGTGTTTATTATACCTATTCGCTAATAGTAAGTTGTAGGTATTATTAAATGACGATTTAGGTACTGTCTAACTACTGTCATAAAGTATAAGTAAATCATATAAGTATTTAAAAATCAATATTTATGTTTTATCTTTATGATGTGTTATTGTTAATCCTTATTGTTAATCCAGAAAAGAAACGAAGATATGGAATAGGTAATTATATTTACGCGAATGAAGACGCAAGCAATACCTTTTTAAATAAACTTTAAGTACATGAATTGAAATGACCAACAGCAGTGACGATTTGCACAAGATGGCTGGCTGGAGCTGGATGCGAGAAGTCGAAAATCGATTGAAGTGCAGGAGAGGCTTATGTCCAGCAGTGGACTGCGATAGGCTGATGATGATGATGATTATATAAACGTTAGTGTTAAGTGTGACCCATTGTGTATTGAAACGACAGGTTGTAAACAATTTTGATTTTATTTCGAATTACTTTAGTAACTGACTTTTTAAAATCTTATTATGAGAGATTTAGAGAGGTACTGTGTAGAACTTCTAAAGCCACATGTAGGTAAAAGATCAATCATATTTGGAGATTTTTTTCCGAAACTTTTTTAAATCATTACGTTCTGTATAAGTACCTACAAGCGACATTAAATAAAGACATTGCATTGGAATTGTAATGTTAAAGCATTTAAAAATGATTTCCAATGATTTTCCCGCGACGCCGTACCTTTAACTGTATAAATATTAGCTTTCCACTTTCTAGTTTCTTTCTGTGAAAACATACGATTTTATCATAAAAATCATATCACATCACATACATATTTATCAAATTCGAAATGTTTGTGAAAAAGTCCTGAATATTAAAATGTATCCGTAGGTATCCGTAAAATGTTTTAGTATCCGTAGGTATCCGTATTACGAGTACATGCAGGTTCGACTAAAATATGCGTATATTATATATCGTGTTTCGTGACGAAGATAAAATGAAGAAGACAAACAATTAATTATCAATTGTATACACGTTTGTTGAATTCCAGCGGACTCACAACAGCGTTTTCAATTGACACTTCAATGCTAAGAAACATCTTATGTTTGGAAAAGGAACTATTTTTGTGTATTAGCTAAAGGGATTAAATTTAGCTTCAATCTATCATCATAACATATTTTAGTCAGAGGGTTATTATTACGTCATCAGTTATATTGTGTAGCTGTTGATATTGACCAATATTGATTTGACTGACTACCTTCTTTTTTTTTTCCCGTGCGGAAATCCCCTCGGATACCACCTGTCGGTGGCATGTCGGACTCGAACCGACTAAAACCGCACGCCGTCTCGGGTACTAATAGCCGGGGAACCCGGTATACCCTAGAAAGGAAGTCCCTGGTGCTTGACTGACTACCCTGGTTACCATACTGTAAGGGTGTAGAACAGTATTTAAGCGATAAGTAGTTAATAAAATGCTGGTAATACATACAATTGTACGGCCGTATATACATCTAGTTAGGTATTAATTACGCATTAACAAACTCTGTAAATACTTTTCTCACTTTATACGAGACAGATATGTCGCTCAAATTCTTGTACGTCGTTCAGTGTGTTTGTCAACGCGTTTTATTAATATATGACGATGGTAGAACCAGACTGATCCAAGTATCATTTATGTCAAATTAGTATTTTTGTTATATAGGCACGAAAAAAACACCCATTTTTTATACCACAGTGATCCAAGTGATAATAGTACTATTTGTCTGGAGGACTGTAAATCTCTCACTGTAGAATGAATGGCTTTCTGACTTCCACGTCTTGCCATAAGTGACGAAATAACAATTGGATTCTATTGGTGATGAAAGTGATTATTTTTGTGTAAAGCTTTAATTTGTGTAATTATTAATAAAAATAATGGAAGGAAACATTGCTATAAGTTCAATTCAACATGTTGGGCGTGATTTAAAAAAATATTTAATAGTAAATAGGCATTAGTTTTTTTCACAACAAGTGCAACCACGTTTCCCTAGTTTTCTCAAAAAGACAAAATTGTGACTTGGGTCAGTCTGGTTCTACCATCGTCATATATATGCTCAGTTTCTTAGACTGTACGTTCCATATACTTACTTGGAAGTTTTCCTCCTTGATCTTTCTTCTGCCGTGTGACTCGCCAAGTTTGTTCATCATAGCAGCGACCAGCTCCGGTTGGTTCATAGTATTCACGGCCAAATTCAGCGCCGTCATCAGGTTAATTACGTGTGCCTTGAACTGGGGGTTTTGGTTATACTGTTCTGGCGATTGTCCCTTAATCATCTTGAAGAATTCTTTGGTTTCTGGAAAGGTGGTGAAAAATCTGTAAAGAAGAAATTACTTAGGTTAGATTTTGAACTAGAACTGCATTACTTTTTTGCTTTTATTTAGATGAGTAATGACACTAGGTAAAGAATTGGTATGAGTGCCGTTCTTTTTTACCAATAAGTTTTATACCCATATATATATTATAAGCTCTTTTTGTTATACACGTACATATCTAAACTGAAAAGTCTCTCTATCCTTCCGTACCCGGGTTGGAAAAAAAAGAAAATCGCCTTATAATCCCAGTATTTAGGTACCCTCACAGGTTTTCACACTGTCATGCTTGCCAAAACCTTCTTTCTAAGGAGAGGCCTATGTCCAGCAGTGGACTATTAAAGGCTGTTGATGTGATGATGTGATGCTTGCCAATATCATCAAACTGTTTGCCGATTATGTTAACCGAAAAACCAGATCATGGGCATCTTCGGAAATACAAACGTTATAGCGTTAATAGTGTGTAAGAACCTTAGACTGGTGGCAATGGAACAAAGCTGTACTTATATAAAAACATTTAACTGATACACAGTACATCAACCTTGTATGAGCTGTGTTCAAATAAAGGGTAGTTTTCTACCTTTTCTAAAGAAACACTAACATTGTACGAGTCACTAAATTGTGAGTAATATAAACTCGTTATCAGTTTTTTGTCTTTTTTGCCGAAGACCGTTAGTCTTAATGGGTTCTTTTATTTAAGCTAATATAGGATTTTAATAAACACAAGTTGCTTGAAGCGTTCTCTGCTTATACAATAGTATCGATCGATAGTACCCACTGTGTATACACCAGCTTTATGGCCATTTGCCTTTAAGTTATTACACTACTGAAGTAGTTTGAAAAGAAGGTTTTAAGCGATATGGTTGGTTTAGATTGAGCAGCAAAATGAACAAAATAAAAACGTGAATACAATATGAATATATAATATAGTATTAGTCATATAATCACATCATCATCATCACATCAACAGCCTTTAATAGTCCACTGCTGGACATAGGCCTCTCCTTAGAAAGAAGGTTTTGACCTACTATACCACGCTGGCCAGGCGGGTTGGTATAGGGTTTGTGTCAAGTTTTCCGTCTTTTTGCAGTGCTGGTGTCCTGCGTTGTTTTGCGCCCTTAGTCGGTTCTTACGGCACCCACGGGATGAATTGGGGTAGTGACATTCCGTATTCTTAATCCGTCACTACACGGTCATATAATATTTATATATAATGTAAAGTATTCAGCTGCTCTACCAATTTAAACTACTATCTAATGAACTTCTGACGTAAACATTCTTTCAAAACCAGCATTTAACTTAGTTGAGAGATTATAAAGGTTTAACAAAGCCTTTGTAACAGACAATGCGCAACTTAGAACGGTAAGTCCATAGGCAGGAGTACTTTCACAGAAGTTTCTTTTATAATACAGTCATGCGTTTATAGAGGGGATTGTTGACAGTTCTTTAAGCATGATAAATAAATTGGGGATGCGGATCACATCGGGTATAGAACGGATTATAAGTATGTGCACTGTATATAAACCAGGTTCACATAACGGTATCTTCTAATAGACATTGGAGTTTGCAAAAGATATTGGAAGCTAGATACAGCGATCAAGTAGAAGTCTGTTAAAATGAAGCAGTCAGATCTACTACTTTGGCCTTACAGAAGAATGACGTTGTACTGAAATATTACCTTCTTGGAATATGTTCGTATATGTAACGTATCACTCCTAAGTAGTTATCATTATATATGTTGTAAAATGTAGCATTGTAGAGAGAAAAAATATATAATTAAACAAAAATTCTGTTAATACTTGCTACACAAATAGATTTCAGTCAATAGTGGGATCGTCATAAATTTAATTACAGAGTACCTACCACATTTCTGGACTCATTTGATAAAATTTACAACTGCTATTTTAATGGCTTGCATTGTTGTCATTTATAAACTTAAGTATCAGCGTATATTTTGTAAATATTTTGGCTGTTTTCCAAACCAACGCAATGGTGTTAATTCTACGTTTCCCAATTCCCAATGCAACAGTCAACAAAGTGGGTTTGATGAGCACTTCATACTTTAGATGTGATGACATGGATTATATAGCATATAATTATGTCTACAATACATTCTTTCTTTCCATACTTTTTATAATGTTGTATAAATTGAATCGAATTATTTTGAAGGGACACTCGTGTTCTATAGTTTACAAAATAGTTCGATATTGTAGATCATTAAAGCAATAAATGTGTTGTAACATAATCAGTACAAACGTAACAATTAAATAATTTATATGAAATTATCCTAAGGTAAGTAAGTAACTGAGCCGAAACAATCTTGTCTAAAAAAATGAGAGAATAGTGATGTAGGTATTTGTGTGTTTAGATACTAAAAGATTTTATTTATTTATACTTATTGGGCTACAGTACGCTCTCTCATGAAATATTACAATTGCAGCATCAGGACAAAAGAGAGACGACAGTGGATATGTGCTTGGTGTACACAATATGTGACACATTAAATAAAATGCATGCTTAAGTGTTTGTTGAGGTTACATATATGCATTTTTAAAAAACGAAATATCTTCTGAAGTAGTTGACAGATGAAAAAGACTTTAAAACAGAGCACGTAAGCTGTCACAGTCAGACAAGGCGAGTGACGTGTTTACTAAAGTAAGCAAATAGCTTAAACAAGGTACCTATGTTTAGTATTAGCTTTTTTATATCTGTTAGTTTTATATAATTTAATTATAATAATAAAAATTTATTTCAGAAATATTTCTTTTCCATATTATGTTGGTAATAGTTTGCTTACATACTAATGTTAGTAAAAGTTATGATGTCTTACAAAGGAACTATAAAGGAGTAGGTAATCTAAAGGATGACATATCAATTATAATTTTTTGCCTAAAATACCAACTGCAACTTATTTGTTTGTGGTATTTTATCTTATATATAAAATTCTCGTGTCACAATGTTAGTTACCATACTCCTCCGAAACGGCTTGGCCGATTTTTATGAAATTTTGTGTGCACATCGGGTAGGTCTGAGAATCGGCCAACATCTATTTTTCATACCCCTAAATGACAAGGGTGACCCAACCCTAATTTTTTTTTTCAATGTTTCCTAAAAATAATGTATATGGCAAAACAACGTTTGCCGGGTCAGCTAGTATATATATATATATTGTTGTAACTATTTTTTGGGGACCTACGGAGAGATTTATTTTATTCCTCATATAAAAACAATCGAGATCAGTCCGCCTAATAACAATGTTCCTAGGCTAAGCGTACACTCGTCAAGATAGTATGTCAATGTACGTTAGTATCACAATAATATAATAATGTAGCCAATTTGTGGGTGTATGTCTATTCTGCCACTACCACTTAAATTGAAATAGAATACCTCATTAACTTTAAATAGGTCTGATCTCATTCACAATAAGGACGACAGTTACAATATACCAACTGAATATCAGGTCCCAATATGTATAAAATTTGCAAAAATAATTAATGAGAGACCCACAATCCAAGTTTATTAATCTTCTTAGTACATACGAGTACATATTTTTAAACACAAATAACAATTTCAATTCAAGAATAGGATCTCATGTATTTATCGTAATCCGCCGGTAATAGGCCGGCAGTAAAAAAAGCAGTTTGGAAAGTTATAATATGGCCGCTTTCGTGCCTAAATACTCACTCAGGGGATAATACTTTTATTTATATCCTATATTGTGCTTTGTACGACCCGCTTATTTGAAAAGTACTTTTCTTAAGTGTTTCGTAAGGTAATTAGAGAGATGAGTTCAGTTGAGTTAAATGTAAGTCTCAAGCGATGCAGAATGTAAATGTATATGTATAGCTTGCACCGGTCGCATAAAACATTAGTTACGACTCTGAATATAATATAATTGGACGGAGGGTTGGCAACGTTAAAATGATTACCACCTAAAGTATATTTTATGAAAAGTCTGCTATTAAATTAAATGTTGCTCTACTCCATAAAACCTTGAGCACACGTGTGCTAAAACACGCCTTCGTTTCTAATAGCGGAATACTAAGTACTATACGGAAGGGAATGAAGAATTCCATTTCGTTACGAGGTAGGCCGGTCGTGAGCTCGTGGCATTTCAACAATGTTAGGAGCTTGAGAAGAGAAGCACGTACATAAAGACATTGGATATCAGATCAATATTTAGGTACCACAGTTTATAAACTAGCTGTAGCTCCCGGCTCTGCGTTTTAGCTTATGGTGGAAATCTCTCAAAAACAGAAAGATATAAGAAGTAAGACAGCTAATGGAAGTTATTAATAAGTTATGCAAACTACCTTTAATGAATTTATTAATTGCAAAGTAGTATACGTTCTCATAATTTGCTTAATCCAATAGCCATCCTAATATCGTTAGAAGTACATTATCATCATCATTGATGTTGATGACAAAGTACATGAATTACCCTTTTTTTTTTAAATGTTCCTGAGAAATACCTGGATTGATAGAATCTACATTCAAGCTAACGAAGTCACGGGTTCAATGTAGTTAGAAATACATATACGTATGTATGTTCAACAAACTGAGATCTTACCTCAGCGTTAATAAATAATAATTAATTGCTTCATACTATTATAACCGTTAGCGAAACTAAGGTTTTCAATATGAGGTTTTACAAAAGTTTTGAATTTCATGTGTGCTCACAATTGAAATTAATATTTACCCATAGGCAAGAATTTAGAAAATATTAGTTTTATAATCAAGTGCTGAAAGTTAAAAAAATAGCGTTACTGTACAGATAAGATCGAAAACCAGGTTAAGTGATGTTCAATCACAAAGTTTTTTCTATCGGCCAACTTCCTCGCCGCAAGATTTGATAATATTTATCGGAGTAGGTCACAACGAAAAAAAAATGCTAATTGGGTTACTTCTGAAGTATATAACGGTACCTTAACTTTGCACAAGAAAGATTGTGAGCAAGCCATAGTTTAGTTCAACTCTTTATTGTCAGTACGTGCATGAAAATTTTTTACAGTTCAACTAGCTGAACAGAGCAATTTAAAATATGCTATGGAGAGAAATTATATTGTAACTTTACTTTTTATATTATTACGTTGTGTCGATAATGGGATAGGACCCAGGAAAGGTACGGCAAGCTCTACGAGTCTTATCGTCCATGTAAACTTTTGAACGAGATTAGACAGTTCAAATGTTAGACTAGAATATAAATAAACAAGAATACAGTCTAGTTGGGAAAATTTGTTTCAATTTGGTACTAATCCGATAATTATTTATTCCATTTTTAGGGTGCCGTTCCTCAAAAGGAAAAACGTCTGTCCGTCGGTCCGTCTGTCTATCAAGACCCTTTATCTTGAGGACGCATGAAGGTATCGAGCTGAAATTACCACATACTGAGGTCTACAGTCCCTTGAAGCTGTGAAAATATCAAACTTACAAACAGTTAACGTAAAAAAAGACACGCTGTTTATGACGCAAAAAACGCATATTTCGATTTCTCAAGGCAACCAAAATTTATGGGGTACTTCCCAGTGTCCTAGAACTATGTTTTTCAAGTAACATGATCTTATACTACAAGTACAGGGAAAAATCTGAAAAATAGTCTTTATTTAAAGTAGGTACGTAATCAATCATCGAGGTACAATTTCACTTATAAAAAATAATAAAAGAACTCATAGGTACTGAATTTAAGCTCGGCAAAAACTATTTATAATATGTACCTACAAATTTGTACGGAACCCTTGGTCGGCGAGTCCGACTCGCACTTCTCCAAATTTTTTTTTCTTCTATCTATTTTTTTTTAAGTTAATGACGATATTTGAATTTGTCCAAGTTTATTATATTTTAAATGACAGTAAGCATACCTACTGGCAAGTTGAGCATGCTTTGATTTATACAGTCACTTTGAATAAAAAATACCTTAATAATATAATCTATATCCGTTGCAGCATCAAATGGGCATTTTATTTAAAAATAGAATGTTTAAACATTCATATTGCTTTATGACAGTTTATTGAGTATGTAACTGAAAGGTTGTTGGATGGTTTTCATAATGAAACATTAAGCCAAATATTGTGCTCACTAATATTTTTATTTCACGTTAGATACACAAAAATCCTTTTATTTTAAATTATTGTTAAAAGATATTAAGCTTGGTAGGTAATTTAGTCTTGAAATTCTAAAAACACTTGACTTATCTGTAATAATATTGGTAGTTATCTGTTTCTGCTAGTCGTTCGCTTATGAGCTTTACGCTCATTGATCAATGTATATTTAATACATATCACTAAAATGAATGCCGATTTTTTTCTTAAGTCGACCATGACTTGGTTTTAAACCATGTACATTAAACATTGATCCTATAAAGATATTATAATACATCTTTGGCTATTACTAAAAAGGAAGAAAATGGGCTTAGAAACAGCAGGAAAAAAGATACGGATTTATTTTGTGTTTACCTAATTTTCAGTAAGTTTAATAATTTTAAAAATACTGATACACGATTCAACTACAACTCTATGGTATGCGCTGTAAATCAAAATAAGGTTGGCATTAAAACGGACACGGCTGTATAGTCAGTCGACTTAATGGCGACAGTTACACGTTTTACGAGCGGCCACTTAACGCTGATTGATTTATTGATGACTAGAACATAAACCGATGCGTTACTATTATGTTGTGCAGTTAGACTTGAATGATAGAGTAGCAAGTCAGACAGTACGACGATCGCGGTGCGATCGATCGATGTCGATTTATTATGTACCTGACCGAGACTCCTTTGGCTGGATTGGAAAATACCTTTTATAAGGAAAACCTGATGAGTTCGTCAGAGCTGTTTCTGTAATACTCTAAATGTTTTTTAAACATAACATTTATTTCTTGAAAGTTATAAACAATGTCATGTCCTGTATTAGTCGATTGATATATCCGTAACCCTTCTGCTCGTTTGTCTCAAGAAGAATAAAACCTGTATACTTGGAAAGCACAGTTAATAAAGGTTTTTAACTCACTGAGTTTATTAGTAAGTAATTCATAACACGAGGATGCTGTAGGTTTTTGTATTAATTATAAATAATGATTATGCACAAAACTTTTTTTGCTAATTAAAAAATGCATTGATTTTTCGGCCTTATCTAATGTATCGCAATGATACTGTGACTAGTGTTAAAGTTAAATTTCTAAAGATAAAAATTATGAGTAATTTCTTATACGACGGGCCTGTTGCTCTAGTGGTTAGTGACCCTGACTGCTAAGCCGGAGGTCGTGGGTTGGATTCCTACCCAGGACAAGTATTTGTGTGATGAGCACGATTATTTGTTCTGTGTCTGGATGTAATTTATCTGTAATATGTTAAAAATATTGCTAATAAAGTATGTTTATTAGCAATCTGGTTACTATAGTACAGGCTCTACAGGTTTGGAATCTAACAGCCCTGTGTTGGATGTCTGAGATTTTTATTAAAACTATTGTATTATTCAATGTCAGAAAGTAAGAATCCGAAAATACAAGTCAATAATTGGGTTATATTGTATAACTTAATTATTGAGTTTATCCTATTAAATGAATTTTGAAACCCTAATTATTGAGGTTCCAAAAAAAAAATGTTTCTCGTACAAAACTACACACGGTATTAGAACGATGACAATGTTACTGTAATGTCTTTTATTTAAAAAGCGATATGTTGTAATGTTTTAATTAAGTAGTAGTTGTAATTAATAATAATTAATGGAGGTAATGGTAAAATAATGGAAAAAATCCAAAAGGGATATGTGGTATATATCCCACCACATATCCCTTTCATTATTTGTAATAAGTTTAGGGTGCCGTTCCTCATTTGTAATAAGTTTATTCTCTATCGCAAGGCTATACTCCTTGCAAGGCTTTTGGTTAACGGGATGCAGCATAACGTTGCCTGTAAAAGATTGCCTCTAGCAGATGAAGCCGCCACTTGTACTTGTCTAACCTAGTTTATGTTGCTTATTATATATTTTTACCTGGTGTGATTTACACAAAGCGATATTATTATTATTATATAAATTTCGACTAATTTTACGATTAAAAGAATAGTTCAAGAAATGAAAGTACGCTACAGTTGTTTTTTTTTTACTTTTTAATTTTTTTTAGTGATTTCGTCTTGACGCTTTTTTCCATTTTTTGGCACTAACGATTGCAACAAGACGGACTGTAGACGGACTAAACGCATTCCTACAAATCTCTCCTTATGTAACAGGATTTAGCTGATTGTATATCTATAGATAAATGAAGACCTTTGTTTAATTAAAATGCAAGATGTTCGAAAATAACTTAAATCAATGATTAATAAATGATTTGATTGATATTAATAATCGAATTTCGATTGCAATCTTTCATGTTCTCTGCAATTCATTCATTGATTTCTCTCTTTTGATTGCCTCGGTGGTGAAGCGTATGCGTCTGTTGTGTTGAGGTCTCGGGTTTTGATTCCCGGGTCGGACCAAATGTTCGTATGATCTGCAAATATTTGTTTCGGAGTTTGGGTGTTTTATATGTGTAATATGAATGTATTTACAAAAAAAAGTACATATATAAGTATTCTATAAGTCAATCTAGCCTTCATAGTACAAGCACTGCTTAGTTTGAAACTAGATGGCGTTGAATATCAGATGTCCGAAAAATATTATTTTTATTATTAATTTTTGATTCCTTCAATCATGTTAAATACGAGAGTTAAGTTCTTACCGTCTAAGCAGTTCGGCACCATTAGCAGTGGAGTTTGCGTTGACTGGTGCCCAGGACTTCTGCACGGCGTAGACCTCGCGTCTGGAGAGACCTGACACAGGTGATACCTCGTCAGGATCGCCGCCCCACCACAAGTAGCTCAGCCAAGCGCCCATTGTCACCTTTCGAGGACAAAAAGAAAGTTCAACTAAACTTTGTTTCGTAGTTTAGTTTAGAGAGTTTTCAAACAACAGAATTAGCACCATTATTATGAGTATAAATTGCCCAGCGACTACAGTAATGTGAAATTCTTATAATTAAGTAGTTCCAATGGTCATTCGATGTCATGCATACGCTTTGATGAAAATACTAATAAGCCTAAATCATCATAATTTTTAAAAGTCTGTATAATGTAAGCTTAATTTTTCACAGTTAGATGAACTCAGTTACAATAGCTTAACTCATTCTCTGTAAAAATGTTTTTTTTTATATGGTTGGGATGTTAATAGTTGAAGATTTGTCTGGTACTTTCCACAGGTGCTAATTCTGTTGTTCGAAAACTCTCTAAACTAAACTAAAAATCACTAAAAAAAGTTTTTGTCCTGTCAAATATTACGTTTTCAGAATAGGGAACGTTGTTTGACAGAACTAAACAATTTTTTAGTGATTTTTAGTTTAGTTTAGAGAGTTTTCAAACAACAGAATTAGCACCATTGTTACAAGTATAAATTGCCCAGCGACTACAGTAATGTGAAATTCTTATAATTAAGTAGTTCCAATGGTCATTCGATGTCATATAACTTATAAATCATAAGTGTAAATAAATAAATAGGTGTGTCAAACATTCCACGCACTAATAATTTAAAACAATACCTTATCGGATTTTGAACAAATCTAACGTCAATTTAATTGTTTAATTTAATCACCATTTTACTAAAGTCTGGTAATCAAATTATATAGATAGACCTTTTCTTTTAAGACAACTCCCACACTAGGAATACATTCATGAAACGTACACAAAGAACATCCAGGCTCAGAACAATTTGTGGATCAAACAAAATGTTGTACCATGTGGGGATCGAACTCACAACACTCAGCACAGTAGGAAGACTCAGACATCGGTACAGTTTGGATATCTTTAGCAAGGTAATTTTATTGAAAAAGGTCAAAATTTGATTACAATACGTTTGATTTTAGTCAACAAGCTTCGGGAAAAATAATCGTTGACAAACCATCGAAAGAAATATACTAATCCTTTTTTCTTTTTTCCTTTTCTTTTTTTTCGATCGGTCATTAACCATTTTAGACAATTTAGAGTGAAGCTTTTATAGTTTTTGATCAAATCTGTCGCTATTTTTTTTTTAATTAGCCAATGTTCTAAAATCTGGTAATAAAATTAAAATTAAGCAATTAAATTATATCTAGTATACAAGATAGAGACATCTTCGTACATATCTTTTGACTTTTGTTTACTGTTACCATGTTATGTTGGATCATGGACCCAACACTTGCTTTACCTATTACAAACCCAAAATACGCTCAGTGTGTACAAACGTATGAGTTTAATCAGTAGGTACATTATTTACAATGTTGTATACCTATGTTGTTAGGTACATTTCCACAGTCATTGTATTTTTTTGAGGCTATGTCTAGCACTGGACTATTAAAGGCTGTTGATGGTGACGATTCTGGTAACACTTTTTAACCGTTGACTCTAGAGAAAACCCTATTTCTTAATAAACTTCTCTGATGAGTGAGACATTATAAAGACTTTATTGGTTTCCTTAAATTATTTGTAGCAATTAAGTTGAGTCAGTGGTAAGAAAAACAACTGTTTCTATGTTTTAATTAATTATACTATAACTTCTTAAATTCTCAATAGTTGCTACACAAATAAAAGAAAACTGCGTTGGCACTTTAGCTTATAACGAAATCAAAAACTGTATAAAATAGAGTTAACCACGATAAATCTTAAAAACTAGTTGCTTTGAATCCTAAAAAAATAATATAATGTAACTAAGTCGAGTAACCACATACTTAAATAAAACAATCTTGTTGTATTAGTCAACTCAAATAAAAAAAATATATGCATATAACATTGGATTAGCTAAGCATTGAAACTAAAATTCACATACATATTTATAAGCCGTACCGAGTAGCAATATGTAAGAACACTACCAATCTCATTGAAAAAAAAATTAACAACATTCCTGACACATCTAAGTTGGCGCTAAAATTGTCTGATATTTGGTCACGAATATTGCGTTTACTCACTTAGCAATACCAATAATATATTTATATAGTCAATAAAAAATCCAGCCACTAGATAAGTTAGGATGAATGTAAAGTAAAAAGCCGACCTTATTCGATTTTTCTTTCATTAACACGGCAAGAGCAATCGATGCAACGATAAAAGAAAACACATAAACGAGAAACAACATTATTCCCCATACACAACCAACAATTACACCGTTCTCCAGCGACGCTTTATATATACTAAACTATTTTACGGTGGTGTCGTATTATTAGTTGTGTTAAAACTTGTTTAAAAAGTTTTATCTCGGACACAATATGTTAGCTTAGATTCATATTTAAATATTTAATTGTATTCTGTGACTCATACGATAACAGAAATATCTAAAGCTTTGGGTAATGCAACGTCATCAAAACCGCTGTGATATCAGATTTAAGTCACCAATTCTGAGTTTGGGTATGTGTTGGCCTAAACCTGTTAAACTCTCCAAAGGGTGAATATTTGGATTTATCCTCATGCTCATCATCACTTGAAAGGAATTCAATCTAGACCTATGTCAAAAAACATCAATAGCATACACGTACAATATGTACATGTTTGAAATAGTAGATATGCACACATTATGGATAAGTAATGAAGTACTACTATGTAAGGAGTAGTCTCGTCAATAGACAGTACATCATCATAATCATCATCTTCTTGACCTTTTCCTAAAATTTGTGATGGATCGGCGCAATGAGTTTTTTCTCACATTCTTCTCTATCACTTGCCAGTTGACTGCTTACTCCCTTTCTAGGCATATCTTCTTCTACACAGTCCATCCATCTTTTCATTGATCGTCTTTAATTCTAATATCCTTCAGATTCCAAAAATAAAACTTTTTCTTTACATTTTGGTCATCTCTACGCATCACATGTCCATACCAGGATAAACTTTTCTCCATTAATTTTTCATCAACTGGCGCTACTTTCAAAATTTACTTTTACCATATGTCATCACATCAACAGCCTTTAATAGTCCACTGCTAGACATGGGCCTCTCCTTAGAAAGGAGATTTTGGCCTACTACATCACGCTGGCCAGACGGGTTAGTATAAGGTTTGTTTCAAGTTTTTCCAGTGCTGTCCTGCGTACTTTGCTCTCTAAGTCGGCTCTTACGATACCCACGGGATGTATAGGGGTGGTGACAATCCGTATTCCTAACCCGTCACCACACGGACCATGTACGTACTTAAATTTAATTTAACATATTGAAATTTAATAATAAAGGCATTTATTTCTTTTTAAATCTTGATGTCCCTTAATTTTTTGCATGTCACAAAATAGACGTTCTAGTCCATCTAGGCTAGACAACATCGGTTTCTCTTTTAGCTTGCTTTTGCAAACTTTCGCAAATTTCATTTTGAAAGCTATTTACCGACTATAGAATTGATGGAAAGAGTCTTTTTAAAACAAGTTGTCTCCTAATAAGAGTATTTAAGGTTATAATGAACTCTAAGACATTGTAACAGACACGTAAAGAACAAAAACAGTTATAACAAAGAGCTTAAACTTTATTTACCTTTACCGCTACTTCAAACACACTAACACAAAGTAGGTAAAATATAATTGAGATCATTATGTAAGCTGTTAAGTCAATATTAAGGTTGAGAGTCAATATTTATGAAACGAAAACATGGTTCAAGCTAACATGCTCAGATAACATTTTGGTTTTTGTAACATGTTACTACGGTCATAGAATCGCTAAAGATACTTATTTATTTAATTAAAACGGATATGACATTAACAAATGTAACCTGAATCTCACCTTAAATGGATGATATTATGAAACATTTATGGAAATTGTGTCCTTAAAAACATGAGTCACTGAAATATTTTCATTTTAGTTTTTTTAAATTACCTATTAAAAAAAGCGAACCGAAACGTATTTTAATACAAAAATAGTATCTTATTATTGAATTGTCCGTGTAGTGAATTAAGAATACGGAATGTCACTACCACTATGTATGTGTGTGTATGTTAAGGAGAGGCCTATGTCCAGCAGTGGACTATTAAAGGCTGGTGATGTGATTTAACATCAAGATTGTTCATTTTAAATAATTTATAGCGTATTTTGTACATTTATGTTGAAATTAATTAGGTAAAACGACACAATAGATAAAACGACTAACAAGTGACATACAGAAGTGAAGTCATCTGAATCTATAATTCTTCTGTAACCTACATAAATTATATTTTTAAAATGCAAATAAAAAATCGTATGTTACCTATATATCCTGGTTTTCATTTTTTTTATTAAAACGATTATTGCAATTTATCTATCAGTACACTAAAATACTCACACGTAATCATGATTAGTAATAATACTTACTAATTTATGTAAATAATATTAAATAAATAAATAATTTATTGGAATAAATAAATAATAATTAAGGACTCAAAGATGTTGAACATTGAATATTGATTATAATAATTGACTTTCACAAATTCGTTATAGTACATGTACCTAGTGCTTGCGTCTGTGTACTAAAATAATAGTCTGCTTCCGTATTCTGCACCCTAATCACATGTAGGTGTAAAAGTGATGGAATATCCAAAATAGGAATTTACCTAATAAAGAGAACTGTTTTCTAAAGAGAAAACAGTGCTTTTTATTACACCATTATCTGATTTTCACTTTTTTTGTTTACTAGCATTTCATGATCTTAACAGTAAATCAATTCAAAAACAGTTTTTCCTCTACTTTCGAATTTTGACCAGTACTAAACATTATGATATAAAACGTTTTTTGTATGTGTGTGTACGTATGAATGTATGTCTGTATATTATTGTAGCCCAATTAATTGTGACAGTGACACTGGATATATGAACATTTTAAAAATTTTAAGTATCACATCCATTTCCAAACAGTCGGGTTTTCTGTTTTTTTTTTTTTCAAAAATTAAGCTTGTTTGTCATATTGGAATGGAATTCAAAGCAATAAAGTAACATGTTTTTTAAACCTTATATTTTGTTGAACAAACCTAATATTATTAGTAGAAGAGTATGTTTACCCCTGAGCTGTAACAGACGGAAAAACAGACGCACGAGTTTTCTAATAGACGTTCCGTTTTCTCAATCGCAAGGTATAGAACCCTAAAACATATGATTTGAATAGGTATAGTGTAAAAATAATTATAAGATAGCGTGTAGAGTGAAAACAAAACGTAACTATTGTTCATTAACTTGGTGATTAACCGTTAGCCTTCTACAGTATGTAAATGTCACTTAAAATCATTCAAAGTTATCATGAGTACTACACGAGTAGAACATGAGTGAAAACTAAATATTCCTAACAAAGCAACTGCAGGCTTTCTGCCGTCTTCCGTTCTGTATTGTTAATAGATAAACATTTTGATAATAACAAACTAAGTAAATAATGTTTACAGTACAATCACGAGTGAGGGAGTGTAAACAATGGTGGTAAACGAAATGTAAACACAGACGTTAAATAACAAAGCGTGTGACGGTGCAAAGAGGTAAATAAACTTTTAATAATTTTATATATTTACTCAAGATTGACATGTGATTGCGGCAAAAGTACACGCTGATGTGTTGTGACCGCTAATGTTCAACAAAGTATTTTACGTACACATAACAAAGTGCCTGATACCGTTAGGATAAGGTGTATTTATAAAATTACTTGCCCTTACAGACTGTCTGATTCATCAACGCAGAGCTTAAGCCGCTGGGGCTACAAACTTGAAAATTTTCACTAAGAAAGAATTTTTGAAAATTTTACGTCTAAGGAAGTAAAAAAAAACGGAGTGAGGGTCTATGGAGTTCCTTTCGATTTTTGGTAGACGTTTACCATAGTGTCGAAAGAAAATTTTGTTACACATTTTTCGGTCTTACTCCTAACCGCTCAGAGCATGTAACGCGCGATAAAGAATTTCGTTACAATTAGGGATGATAAGACATAATCACGTGAACTAAGGCGCGGGTAATAGCTACTATTTAACGTACCTAAAATGTATACAGCTGTCTACACGAGTGCGCCAATATGTTCACATTTTGCCTTCACTCTCAATTCGTCTGGCTGCGTCTAGCCAATGCAATATTGATTGCTATAGCTAGCGTGCAACTTATCGTCTACACCTGACACCACAGGATTCATAGTTATTTTCTGTTCAAGACCGCCTTTTTATCCAAAACTTTTTTAGCCTTATTCAGATCAGTGTTATGTTTTTAGCTCATATAAATCAACGTATGGCTTTTTGTTATTTTATTTGTGTTACCCTTGGACTTGTGATTCCACGATTCTTGTAACGTTCCATTTTAGATTTATTTTTCCCAACTTTATTTACGATGATAGCCTGTACGCTATTGTATGTACCCTATGTAAGGAAAATCTAATTTGAGCTAAGAGTTTTCTGTATTGACGTTACTCCATTGATTTTCTTCGATTGAGTATTACTGATAAATCAAGTTTTTGCAAATTGAATAAATCTACGGTTAGGGTTAGTGTGGGGTTAGTTAGTCCACAAGAACCTCGGTACAGTACGAAGCGATTAGAAAAACCAACCCGATAATTAGTAAAGACCTTCGTAACGTGGAAAACGATTTTATAGGATCATATTATAACTCTTGTTAAAATGTAAGTTTAGATGAAATCATGATGAAAGAAAAATGGCTTAATGCTGACTGACAGTGTGTTACCAAGGTTTTCCCATTAGAAAATAGTATCTGTTGAGCTAAAGTTAGGCTTTCACTTTGAAATAGTGGCAAGCTGTCAATGACCATCTACGTGAGGCATATTCCACTAACACGCTCTTTATAGATTCCGAATTTTCTAAAGAATTTGCTTCTAATTGTCGCGTCAAGTATGATACTTTATATGTTTAGCATATGGTTTAGATGACACTACTCATCAACATATTTCTTTAGTAGTCGAATGCTCCACATATTCATTTCCTAAGAAGATTTTGGCCTACCATACCACGCTGGCTAGACGGGTTGGTAGAGGGTTAGTTACCAATTTTCCTTCTCTTTGCAGTGCTGTTGTCCTGCTTAGTTTGCTCCCTTAGTGGGCTCGTACGACACCCACAGGTTGAATATGGGTTGGTACACTCCTTATTCTTAATCCGTCACCACAAGAACAGTGACAATACTATAATTTGTCATTTTACAATAACTAAAGGGAGTATTA